AAGGGCGCAAGTCACGAGGATGGAAGCAGTCTGTTTGCAGTGGTGTCCAGCGACAGGACTAGGGGCAATGGATGCAAACTGAGACATAAGAGGTTTCAGTTGAATATGAGGAAAAACTTCTTTACTTTGAGGGTGACGGAGCACTGGAACAGGCTGCCCAGGGAGGTTGTGGAGTCTCCTTCTCTGGAGATATTCAAAGCCCGCCTGGATGAAGTCTTGTGTAGATTGCTCTAGGAGAGCCTGCTCTAGCAGGGGGGTTGGACTAGATGATCTCCCGAGGTCCCTTCCAACCCTTGCGATTCTGTGGTTCTGTGATTTGGTCCCAAAGGCAGAATCGCTCTTTGGTGTGCTCCTAACGCCTGCTCTTGTTCGTTTGTAGCTGTGTACCGTCAGCTATGGGAAGGTGAAGCTGGTGCTGAAACATAACAGGTAAGTGCCTTCTTCCTTAGCTCAGGTGGCAGAGGAAGCCCTCCAAATGCGCAGCTGTGCAGTCTCAGAAGCTGTTGAGTCTTACAGCTCCCAGCTGAGTGTAGCTTCTATCAGTACAAGATCGCGTTTTCCATTGTTGAAAGTGTTTAATACATGAGTCAATGGGTTCACTTTGGCTGTCCCAAGCTACTAGTGGTTATCATTACATTTTTAAAAGTAGGTTGCGAATTTGATATGCTAGCTTGTTTCTTTATTGCTTGGACTTGCAACATATCCTTAAGGTTTTCAGAATTTTTTTTTTCATTCATTCCTTTCTAACTTACATGAGCTTGGCTAGACAAGTTTTCCTACAGCTCTCCTTCAGTTCCATGTGTTCTGACTTATAATCCATTATTCAGGAAGGATAAGCAAATCCATTGGCAAGAGGTGTGTGCTTGTTGCTGGGTCGAATCTGCTTTGTTTTAAACATAGACGGTAACATTGGAAGGGACCTGGAGAGGTCAGCTAGTTTAGAGCGGACCAATTTTACACAAACCTGTGATTCTGTGGTAGGGAGAGCAGAAACCTGAGGCCTGTGTCTGCACCTTACCTGTGTTTCTCCTTTTGTTTCTTTTGCAAAGTTCTCTGTTGTCTGTCAGCCGTAAATAAGCCCTGGGACTGTAATGCTCTGCTTGTGCTGCTGCTTTTTTGAACCTGCTGCTTAGGGTAAAACTAACACTAGCGTTACTGGCAGGTTTTTGTCTTCTTCCTAGGTGTTTCTGAGAAAAAGATTTCTCCCGTGCCAGTTCAGACTTAAGTCTCTCTTAGCTCACATTTTACCTGTGATCTCCAACCAGCATCATTATTGATGAATCTCCAGGGAGAGAAACAATTTCAGGATGCACTAATTTATATTTTTAGATGATTTGTGTTTTGGAGGTTTTGGGGTTTTGTCTTTTGGGCTTTTTTGTCCTGTGGGCAGGACTTTAAAACACCACATCCAGTGTTTTCCCAGACTCGCCTCGATTCATCTCAAAAAAATTTACTTGTATCACATCACAAATAAGCCATGTATGTGAGAGCTCTCTCTAGGCAGTTCTGCTGGAGTTTTCCCACTTGTGTTATGTTAGAGAACATTTGAGCAAAGTGGATAACTGCAAAGTAGATGATGCTTTTGGTTTGAGGCATCTTTTGAAAGTTTTGATGGCTGTAATTTCTTTGATTTTAAAATGCCACCCCTGAGATGGGATACTTGAGAGTGCATCTAGGATAGGTATATATTTAAGTATCTGTGCCACTATTCCTGTAAGTTATTCAGTTGATTAGTTCATTAAAATGTTTTTCTTTGTTTTTTAACTTTAGGTATTTCGTGGAAAGTACCCACCCTGACGTCATTCAGCAGCTTCTGCAAGACCACGTTATTAGAGACTGTCGCCTGAGAAATGCCGAGGGTGAAGAAACAGAGCTCATTACAGAGACATTCACAAGTAAATCAGCGGTATGTCTGGGCATGTTTTAAAATGATTGAATTAACATTAGGTAAACTGTTGGGTCGTTTGGAGTGATTATTGATTGTTTGCTGTATCAGCACTCACTTTCAGTTCTGTCAGCAATGATCTGTGCCTCCTTAATGAGCCCAAATTTAGTGGGGGGGTGGGGGTGGTGGGGGTGTCTCTCATGAAACCTTTGGTGAAAATTCCTGTCCGTCTATTTCAGATTTCCAAATCCAGTGAAGGTGGCTTTGGTCCATCGACATCACAGGGAACAGATGCTCAGAATAAGCCAGACGTCCCAGCTGACTTATTTGAGTTTTATGAACAGATGGACAAAGATGAGGAGGAGGAGGAGGAAACGCAGACAGTGTCTTTTGAAGTCAAGCAGGTACGAGTATTTTAGTCTGCATATGTAGCTTTGGGAAGTGTACCGCAGACTTGCAAATAAGCACGAGAATTTAAAGTTCTGTGGCTCTTCATCTGATAGGGGAGATCACTGGAGGTCAAGAACATTTCTTTCCTTTTGCCTTCCAAAATCTGAGGATCTTCCTCTTCAGACAGAGGGCGGCAGACTGAGTATTGTTCCTTCCCTGTCTGCAAGACATAGTTCTTTTTGGGTTTTGGGTTGGGCTGGGTTTTTTTTCTGGTTTTGTTTTGTGATTCATATTTGCAGAAGAAACTCTTGATGGTTCTGATTTCATAGTTTGAGAAGGGTAGCTAGAGGTCGGAGCACAGTCTTGGCTTGACCTTCAGAGAGCTTTTGTAAAATATATCCAGTTGGTTTTGGACTCGGTGATTCTAATGATGTCTTACAGGGGAAACCAGAATTTTTTTAAAGAAGATAACTTAGTAGCTATTTCGTTTATTTAAAAAAAACCCAAACCAAACCAACAACCTCTTGGTGATTGAATTAACCCGTCCGTGTGGTGCAATAACTGCATTACCAGGGTATGAAGATTTTCCAGATAACAGATGTGCAGCTTTGGTCGGTCCTTCTGTCTAACACACAGAACCTTTTGTGTCGGTTATTGAGCAATTTGTTGCAGGACTTCAGGGTGTAGTTTAGTCACTGCTGGATAAACAACACATCTGAGCTTAATGTGTCATGTTCTTCCATCTGTCTGAATTAGCCTTCTCTAATATCGACTGTTACTAAAATGTTTGAGGGTGGCGGGATTGGTCACAAATAAGGTTTTTGGAATAAACTTTTAACTCTTGCAGACTTGATGAGCATAAACGATAAATGTGACTTCACATGATACTATGTAATCTGGTTGTTTGGAAAAAAAAAGAGAGAATTAATTCAGACATGGGGAATTTACCATCTGGAGCTTTGTTTCCTCTTCAGGAGATGATTGAAGAACTTCAGAAGCGTTGTATCCATTTGGAGTACCCCTTGCTGGCAGAATATGATTTCAGAAATGATTCCGTGAATCCTGATATTAATATAGATCTGAAACCTACGGCTGTTCTCAGGCCCTATCAAGAGAAAAGCCTACGGAAGATGTTTGGAAATGGGCGAGCCAGGTCTGGTGTTATTGTTCTGCCATGTGGTAAGTTTCTGGGTTGGTATTCAGGGGTTTTGTTCTTTATTCACATGCAGTAAAGTAACTTCCAAATATGACAGGTGCTTGCAATTCAAACAGTAGTAGGGACTGTTCTGGGTACCAGTATGAAGAGTCCTGTTGGTTTTTAGTGAGTGGGAGATGAGGCTGTGGTGAGGGAGAGCCCAGCTGACAGAGTTGTCGGGCATCTGCTTAACAGTGCTGGCAGTATCCCTGTAGCGACTGAAGAACTGATTCGTGGTTGTGGTAGCTTCAAATTACCATTCGTACTTTCACTGTTCCCTCTAAGTCAGCTCTGCTGATCTTCCAGTGAAACGTAAAGCTGTTGGCATTGGAATCATTTGTTCCTTGTCTGGGAATAGGGAGACGTGGGGAAACTGGGAGTAGTACAAATATGGCATAAGGGGGGGTTCAAGGAAGGAAAGAGCTTGTGTGCACAAGTTCTGTGCAGGGGAGCTTGAGAAAGAAGTGAGGAATGTGCAGATAGGGACAGCCTACAGGAAGCAATGGGAAAGGGAGAGAACAGGAGACTGCATGCCAGTGCCCTTGGTGTTGGAGGTGGAGGAGGAGGCACATGGGAGATACGGCGAGGGCCTAAGAGAGTCTGTAAGGGGTGCTGGAATAAGTGTGAAGGAGGAATGGAAGGACTTGCTATGTGGGGGAATGAACATAGCTGGCGGGGGCAGTGGGATAGATCACCTCTAGGGGAAGCTTGCTGTAGCCACCCGGAATTTAACATGCTTTTGAAATTAAGAAAGCATTACAATGATTGCTTCTAATTGGCAAAGCCATTGTTTACAATGATTTTCTTGAGAAAATAACAGTTACGGGTCCAGTAGACAACCCAGCTTGTTTTTTTAGAAGTGAATACTGCATTTCTTTAAGACCATTGTACTGAAGAAACAACAAAGAATTTGCTCTTGGATGATATCATATCCTCTCACAGTTTCCCTGGTTTCCTTTGCTCTCCCCCCCTCCCCCTCTTTTCCCACCTACTCCAGTGATACGTGAGAGATGACTAATGAACACCACTCTTCTTCCTCTGCAGGTGCTGGCAAGTCTCTGGTTGGAGTGACAGCTGCATGTACTGTCCGCAAGCGGTGTCTGGTCCTCGGTAATTCTGCAGTGTCTGTAGAGCAGTGGAAAGCCCAATTCAAGATGTGGTCCACCATCGATGACAGTCAGATATGTCGGTTCACTTCTGATGCTAAAGACAAGCCCATTGGCTGTTCTATTGCTATCAGCACATATTCCATGTTGGGACACACGACGAAAAGATCCTGGGAAGCAGAAAGAGTAATGGAGTGGCTTAAAAGTCAAGAGTGGGGTCTTATGATACTTGATGAAGTACATACAATCCCTGGTAAGGAAACGGTGTGCAAACCTTCCATGTTATGTACACTGTTAATGTTGCTCTGCTCTTCTAGGAGTGGTGATTTTTTGCTGTCTTTCTCATGATTAATATACTGAGTAAAGCCGTTGATTTAGGATTTTGCGGCAAGTAAACTGCCTTGTTCTACATTCTTCTTTTCTTTTTTTTACCCTGACGCTAAGAATTTACCTGACCATTAGTTTTCTGAAATCCTTCAAATTAGACACTGTGTTTTCTCTAATGGTGGTGTAAAATACAAGTGCCTTTTCCTTCTGTGTAGGTTGATAAAGTGCTCTTAAGATACCTGAATTACATTTGCATAATTTTGCTGTAGACAAATTTGAACAGGAAAGGAATTCATCTGCCTTCTTTTCTTTTGAGATGTAGTGGTGCTGTAGGCTAGCTTTTAATACCTCTTTCTACTCAATAAAATATGAGTAACCATAGTGATTACTGTCCAGAAATAGCTGTTTTATTTGAAATTACTATGTAATTGATATCGGTACTGTTGGAAAGCAATAATGTAGTATTAAAATGTCTGTGGAGTAATCCTGGCTAAAAATACCACCCAGGATTCTGTTAGCTGCTCTGACTTGTCCTCATTATTTCATTTGAATATAATCTGGTGTCTGCAGACATGATGGATTTCAGAAGTAGACCTTGATGATTAACCGCCAGTTTATCAAAGTAGCACATTGCTGCCACCATTCTTTCACTTTTGTTCTTTCTTGATTTCATAAAAATGAAGGTATAGAATCTCCTCTCTACCTTCAGATTCTGCAATTACAGGATCTGTAGCAATACTAAAGATGAGTGATTCTGCCATATACTAGAAGTCCTGAATGTGGCAGTCAGCCAAGTGTCCCTGTGTCATAGTTCTGTGAAATACTGTATGACCTAAAACAAGCCATGTAACCTCCGAGTGTATTGATTTTTTCTCTCAGGAAATGGGAAATGACACAGATGCCAGAAGGTTTATTGGGATTTTCAGAGTACACTGAAGATGTAAGCTAAAGCTGCAATCAGTGTAAAATTTTGCTGTAACACAGATTTGTTAGAAATGTGAAATGGGGTAAAATTTCCCAATGCTGTGCTTGCTTTGTGTTCAGGAGTTGGTGAAAGTTTGTTTTTAAGTTGCAGTATTTGTCTCCTAAATCCATTCAGGAAAGTAAACAGAAAATTTGTCTTGCATTTCTTAGCAAAAATGTTCAGACGTGTGCTCACTATTGTACAAGCTCATTGTAAACTGGGGCTGACTGCTACCCTGGTCAGAGAAGATGATAAAATTGTCGACCTGAACTTCCTGATCGGACCAAAGCTCTATGAAGCCAACTGGATGGAGCTGCAGAACAGTGGCTACATTGCTAAAGTCCAGTGTGCTGAGGTGATGCTCTGCTTTTTGGTACTCCTAGCGTTTACTTAGTATGCTTATAACTTTCTTTTTTTTTTTTTTTTTTTAAGGAAGATGTGTAAAATTTTGAGTATTTAACTGGGAAAAACAGGTGCCCTCATGACTTTTGCTTTGTAGCTTAGGCAAGGCTGTCGCTGGTCAGTGTGAACATGTGGCAAATCAAGTAGCCACGTGTTCTTCAGCCGCATGTTCCTCAGAGTGACTTCAGCACTCTTTCTCTTTGCGGGGTTTGTGGTGTTTGATCGGCTGTCTCCAAGTCAGCATTTGGAAATGTAAACAGGGGTTGCAGGCTGTATCGGAGACCTAGTTCGATGCAGTTGACATTCGTGTTGTCTGACTTGACTTCGTAGCTTGAGCGCAGTTTTCTGTGGTAACGTAACATCCTGTCAGGATGAGCATAACATCAGGTGGTGTGCTGGAAGCTGCTTTTTAGAGACTTCAACTGGTAGACAGTCTGTCATCGTTTGAGGAAAATTCTTGTAACTCTTAAAACAAAGAAGGATATTAGGAAGTTTAAAAAAAAGTAAGAAAAGACCTGCTTATTTCAAGCCTCAATGCATGAGGGTGAAAATTGAAAACATAGGGCTGGATCTTACTATTTCTTTCCACGATGATGGTGTGTGACCTCTGTTCTTTCCAGCACATGGCTGAGAGAAAAATCTGGTACCAGAGAAGGGGAAACCTTTCACACAGGCACATTAGAACATTAAAGTAACCTTTCTGGGTCAGACTAAAGGTCTCTGATAATTGTCAAGTAAGATACTTAGGGAAGAGTATAAAAACAGGGCAAACATACTTGTTACTTCTCCTGATACTTATCCAAGCCCTCAATCATTTGTGAGCTTTACGTGGTTTCTGTGTAAACACCAGTGGGTTCCTTTTTCATTAACTTGCCTGGACTCCCCATGGAATGGAAATAAAGTTTTAGCAGCTACAACTTGCTATGGTGGAGTTGCATAGCTTAACCCTCCCTTGGTTTTTTCCTGGTTTTTTTTTCTTCTTTGTTTTTTGGCTTTGGGGTTTTTTTTGTTATTTGTGGAGGTTTTTGTGTTGGCTTTATGTTGTTGGTTGTTGCTGTTTTCGGCTTTTTTTAAACCTGTCTTGCTAGTTTCATTCAATTCTTCCTAGCACTGGTACTGGAATAAAAGATGCAGATGCAGGTCAGTTGTTCTCCTTTTGAACTTTGTGCGAACTGGAGGTTATAGAAGGGAAAAACCTCACAACTATTTTTAAGTAACAGAACGCAAGCAAAGAGCATCTAGAAAATAACTAGGTTGAAGGGAGAGTAACCAGTCTGCAAATTCAAATTTGACTTTTTAGGCACTTTGGTTAATTCTGCCTTGAGAGCATAATTCTTCTCAGTCCCTGAACTGTCCTTTTAGACATTGAGAAGTGAAGCATGGGCTACCTTGGTTCCGAATGAAGTGAAAATTCTGCACATTTATGTTCAGTGTGCGCGTATATATTCAGGACATTCCATGGGACTAGCAAAAGCAAAGAATCAAAAAAAGCAATGTTGTTGGCTGGTAAATAACAAGTCTAATACATGCACATTCAGAGTTTTGTAATTTACAAATAATCCCTTTCCCAGCTGCCATATGAGGTTTTTGGCTTGGAGTGAGCATCTTGTAAAATGTAAAAATGAAAAGACCATTGGGGTGAGAAGTAGATTTTATCCATTTCCAAATCCAAAAGAGAGTGCAAATACAAATCAAAATATATTCAGTTCTCCATGTAGTCCCACGGGCTACAGGTGGAGATCTCCACCGTGGACCTCCATGGACTGCAGGGGGACAGCCTGCCTCACCATGGTCTTCACCATGGGCCTACTGAACCGCAGCCGGTTTTTTTTCCTTCTTAAATACGTTATCACAGAGGCGCTTCCACTGTCGCTGATTGGCTTGGCCTTGGCCAGAGGCAGACACGGGGAAAACTTCTAGCAGCTTCTCACAGAAGGCACCCCTGTAGCCCCCCCACTACCAAGACCTTGCCGCAGAAACCCAATACATGGCTATTGAGCAAAAGATGAATTATTTTACTACAATCAAATGTTTGGTATTCATATCTCATCCTCACTTTGAAATATTCTCTTCTGATTTAAGAGTTTTAGATCTTTCATATAGACAGCATACAATAACAACAGAGCATATTCAATGCATAAATTCATTGCTCATGTAGTCAAGGGATGAAAAAGCCTCATCTAGCATTTAACTCACTGGAAAGAATGTTTTGAAACAAAAAAAGTAGTTCTTAACAGTACAGAACAATTCAGGTTGTTTAAATAAACTCCTGTAAATTGTCACGTAACTTCCTTAGCTGAACAATGCTTATGAAAGAGGCTTTTCTTTGCAGTATTCTGTTAATTTGTACTGGGTAATGGATGTGGGGGAATAATCCATGTACAGCAGAATGAATGCTCTCCAAATTACATGCACTATAGATACTGTCATTATATGCTATAGATAGTATCATTGCACTGGCATAACTTTGATATTCATCATTTCTTCTGTTTTCATTCTACAGTAGAAAAAATAGTAAGACTAGACTTGTGCAGTACTATGATATGCATTTGCATAATAAAACAATTGCTTAGGCAAACCTATTGAAAACTTCTAATCAATCCTCGTGTTTTGAAAGTTACAGACTCAATAACTGTTAAAATAAAGGTCACTCCTTTGTGAAAGGTAAATTTGGTAAAGATTGGTAAATTTGTTCTATAAAGAAGACTAAATGTGTCTCTGAGCTTTCAGAGTATGGATGAAAATGAATTTTTATGGAAAAAGCTTTGACTGCTGTGATGGGACGATGACACAGGCAGTTCATTCCCTTAATTATTGCTCTATAAAGGGTGGTAATATTCAGTAAAATTACTAAGCATGAAACATATAATTATTGCTCTATAAAAGGTGGTAGTATTCAGTAAAATTACTAAGCATGAAACATAAAGGAAATATCTTCCAGTCCTGTTCCAATCCCGCTGCCTATTTCTGTTGTGGATCTCGCTGCCAAAGCATTTTGGAAGGCCAGAATATTAATGAGGTTAAACGGTTTGGCAGTGCTGCAGATTACACCGATCGGTAGCTCTCATTTACTGCAGAAATTACTGTGTTAAAATTTGTGGCCTGTGCTGTAAAGAAAGTTATAATGCGTTATCATCCCCCTGGTATCTTTAATTTCCATGGGAATCAAATAAATAAATAACAGAGGGTTACTTCAGGTGTGTTTATGTTTTTTAATTCCAGGTTTGGTGCCCAATGTCACCTGAATTTTATAGAGAATACGTAGCTATCAAAACAAAGAAACGGATACTGCTGTACACCATGAACCCAAATAAATTCAGAGCCTGCCAGTTTCTGATTAAGTTTCATGAGCGACGGAATGATAAAATCATCGTATTTGCTGACAACGTGTTTGCACTGAAGGAGTATGCAATCAGACTTGGGAAGTAAGTGTTCACAACCAACGGTGGCACTGTTGTTTTCCTCCGTCCTGGAAAGTTGCTTTGTAATCTCGCAGCTTTCGGTAGTCTTTAGGTATTGTAATTCTTTGATTGAACTCCAGTCTTCCCTTAGAAAAAGGAGCTTGGGAGGGTTTTTTCTTGGATAGATTTTATTGCCACTGCAACATTATTTTGGTGTAGAACTGTTTGAAAAGAGCCTCTGTTTAGCACTTGCCTCAGAGGAGTTTTCATCCAAGATTTCTGTGAAAGACTGTTAGTATTTATCCATTGATTTTATTATTATTAAAAGACAGTGGAAAAATGAGGGGCTTTTAAAAATATCACTAGAACTGTTTCTTTAACAGATCGTAGATTCCTCTGTCTCTCTGAGACGAAGGTTGTCAAATAAACACTCTCTGGATCTTTCAAGGTCTTTTGCGACCCAGGGCGTTCCTTTTCAGGTTCTCAGAAGGTCTTAACTTTGTCTAAAAAACCTAAGACAAACTTTCTGGGGATCTGTGCTGTACCAGTGCACTGCTTAGGAATCACTGTAATCGTTTAATAAATGAAAGGATAATTGCTCCCATGAGCTCCTCAGTTACTTTAAATGACTCTAAAATGAGTGTGGTTACGGAAGGTGGTACAGAGAGTTCAATGAGGGGTTAGCATCAGTGTGGTTGTAGGCTTTGGGGAGGGATGGTAAGGGAGTGTTTGCCAGGATCAGGTGTAGAGCAATTATTGGGGAAAATAAGCACAGAAGCTGGCCTCATCCTTTCTTTGACAAGCCCAAATAATGCCTTGCTTACTGGAAGCTGTGGGGTGTTTTGGCTGCATATGATTTCACCTCTGGGAATTGCAGCAGTACTTCTTAGCAAAACTACAGGCAAGCCTTACGCTTTCCAAAATTCATGATCAGTTTTGACTGTAGTTTTAACAGCCATGTTATGCTGGCTTGCTGTGACATCAAATAGTAAGCAGAGCTAATGGTGCTGGATGAATTCCAACACCCGTGGTCTCTTTCATCATTTTTTTTAATCTGTCTGGACAGAGATTAGCTGTAATGATGCCTCTGGAATGTCTCTAGCAGTGTTCAGTGCACCACAGAAAAAGCCTTCAGCAAAGGCGACGCTGGGACGGGGTGCTTGCTAAGTAGCACAACAGTTGTTAAATGGGGTAGACCCTGTAGAAGCGTGACAGGAAAACCAGTGGAAGAAATACTAGGTGCTTGCTTTTCATGTTCTTGAGTGAATTCTGTGTTCCTCACATCACGTATGGAGCTCCAGGTTATACGGCCGTCAGTGTTGGAAAGAAAGGAGGCTTCCAGTGCTGGATAAAGGTGAGGGAGTCTTTATTTGAACCAGAGAACTTTCTATCCTAGTTTGCTATGAGCATGCTGAAAGAATGGGAACTGTTAGTTTGAGTGGGGCAGGAATTATACATGTAAGGAGGAGAGAGCAGCCCAGCAGGGGAGGCGGTGGTGGCCAAGGCTGGCTGCCTGGCCTGTGCTAGCCCAGCGGGAGGACGGTTCCCACAGCACTTCTCATGACCCAATTCAAGCACCTGGGGTGACAGCGGGGGCGGGGGTGGTGGCCAAGGCTGGCTGCCTGGCCTGTGCTAGCCCAGCGGGAGGACGGTTCCCACAGCACTTCTCATGACCCTATTCAAGCACCTGGGGTGGGAGGGCTCCCAAATGGAGGGAGACATGGCCATCGTCTGGCTGCCTCTGCCAGCTCCTCCCTTATCCCCCTTTGGTACTGGCAGGGAACGACCATGCACATGACAGGAATTATTTTTATTATAATTTTGGAGGCCACAGAATTCAGATTTGCTTAGCCAGATTTTACTGTCATGAGTCTGTTATCCAGTGTTGTATAGCTCGCATGCTGACTGTGTGTTACTAATATGTTTAAATCACTGTTTCTGAGCCCCTGTGGTTTTGGTAGTTATGTCAGTAGCGGGAGAGGGTTCTATCCTTGCAGATCCCTCGAATATCTTTTTGCAGTGAGGAAAAGGGGTCATTTAAAAAAATAAATAAAATCTAGCGTTGCCTGTTCTAGGTTCAGGAAGGTAGTCAGATGTGTGTTAATGAATCATTGTCAAGTAGGATCTGGGGATGGGGGGTAAAATAGAGGATTGATAGCCAAGAGTTCTAGGTTATTCTGTTCTTAAAAACATGTGCTTGAACCCTTTCTTGGTGGATTTAAGAAACGGAAGGCTTGCAAATGCTGTAGTCTCAGTTTCAGTTTAAATCTGTCATTTAAGTTTTGTTGGGGATTAAAATAATCACAATTTAAATATTAAATGAAATTTCAAAGAAGGCTTAAAAATAATACTGAATGCTACTAATTGAACAATAATGGTGTTTCAGAGTTGACTCATTTGGCACTTTCATTTTTTAGTTGCGTTTTTCTAAAAATCTGGTTAAATACACTAAATAAAAGAATGAGATTATAGGTGACTGGTATCCTAGAAATACTAGGATAAAGTTTGCAGTAAAGAAAGCAAGAGGAGCCAACTCACGGTAATTAATTGGTAAGAACAGGAAACCTCAGCACTGGGCACTGCATGTTTACGTTCAGCTACCACCCATGTACGTGCAATATTAAAAGTTAAATGGAACATGTGGGGTTGGCTCCTTGTGTTAGAAATAATGTATGGGAGTGTGAACAAAATAGAAATTGTAGAACTTGATTCCTGTTACTTGGAGATGCTTGTTAACGAGCTTTTGGAAAAGTAGTGCAACAGATGAAAAAGCAGTGGCTATGCACTCCTGCATGCCTCTCATTTTTTATGAGGGCTTCACCATTTTCTAGCTTTTTTTTTTTTTTTTTTAAACTCTGCTTAGGCAGAAAGAAAACAGCTAGACTCTAGAGAGAATCTTGGAAAATTCATAGTAGCCCAAGTTACTCATGAAGTTTGTGTGAGCCTTCTGGATTGAGATATTAAATGTTCCAGGTGATTCATCGTCAAACGTTAGAGACCTTAGGTGAAATGCCGCTGTGAGCTGCTCCTGGCCATGGAACGCTGGGACGTTTCGTTGTTCTCATTTCAGTAGGTCCAGAAGGTGTTAGAAGGGGCAGGAGGTTAGCTTCAAAAGCAAAAATAATTTTCCCAGAACAACACCGACCAGCCAGCTTGTGACACTCAGCATGTCCTAGATAGAGAAGCCTGGCTTTTCAAGTGTTTAAATAGGAAGCAAAGGCTGCAGCTGTCAATGTGCTAATTCAGTAGATCTGAGGAAAAAAATCTTATTTTAACAGCTGCCTTCAGTCTTTCATGTGGGCTTACCAAATGTATTCGGTCTGTTGACATAAAACTGCATTGGTGCACATAATTACAAAACATTTATAACTGTCAGAATTTATTTCTGGCAGACTGGGTTGCTGCACAGGGTTCCGCAAACAGCTGGGTAGCTGCCATAAAGAGCCCAACAAGCTAAAAGTAAGCTGTAAGCTGTACCAAAATCTGTTTTGTTTTTATATCAGTTCAAACCTGTACTGCACTCCCTGCCGTGGTATCATAGTACCTCATAAGAAATGTTTGAAAGACCTTAAATTGATTTAATCTGCATATGTCCTATTCTTTCCAGACCCTACATATATGGTCCTACTGCACAAGGAGAAAGAATGCAAATTCTACAAAACTTCAAGCACAATCCAAAAATCAACACTATTTTCATTTCCAAGGTAAGTGAGGACATTCGCTGTGTCCTTGTACCTATCTTGAGAGTGAACTTTACTTAAGAGTAAGTTACACATGCATGTTGTGCATTTGACATCTTTGTATCACAGCTCGCAAAGGTGTACTTTGTATTAAGTCTTTGTTTATGATATATGGAAATAAGATACTGCTCAGAGGCTGCTTCTCTGTTATAGGTAGGCGACACATCCTTTGATCTGCCGGAAGCCAATGTTCTGATTCAGATTTCATCCCATGGTGGGTCTCGAAGACAAGAGGCTCAAAGACTGGGACGAGTGCTGAGAGCCAAAAAAGGTAAATGAGGTGGTTGTTGGGCTCTGGGCCTTGGATCACAGTGTCATAGAATTGCAGAAAAACCAGATGTTCATGACACTTCTTTATATTGTCCTTGGATTATGTCTTAGTCAGAGAGAATATATGCCCATATACCAGTGAATGAAGATGAAGCATTTTCTGGGTCAGTAAAAGTTTGTGTCAGGAAAACTTCCAAAGGACAAAAAGAGCTGAAGGAATTTCCATGCTGTGTACTTTGTCAGGTGGTTTATGTAAGGTCTGGGTGCAGCTAAACTTTGCAGATGGTTTTTGTGGAGAGGCAATTTACTTAAACACCTGTTTTCAGTACTCAGTCCTTTTTTTGTTCTTGGTTGCAGTGTCCCAAGTGGAACTAATTGCTTGGTGTCTTTGTCTCCTAGGCATGGTTGCAGAGGAATACAATGCCTTTTTTTATTCTCTTGTATCCCAAGACACTCAGGAAATGGCATATTCAACGAAGCGACAACGGTTTCTTGTAGATCAAGGTTATAGCTTCAAGGTAACTTGTCCCTTCTATCTATTAGACTTGTGGCCTAAGCATAGAACTTTCTTATTCTTTCATGTTAGCATTAGGTCAAATAATTGAGAATTCCAGTTATGGAATGTATAAATGAAGGTTTTGCTCGCAAGCAAGAACCGTTCCAGTATTGTTTTATCATCTATATTACCGTGAGGGTAGATACAAGTAGCTTAGTACAGCTCCTAGAAAGGGAAGTATTCTAACTTCAAACAAAGCGCCTGCTGGGGAGCAAAGCAGAACATTACTTGCGTGGTTGGTTTATATTCGTGCTCTTCAGCTGTCCATCTTGTGGAGGCCTCCTATTATACATGATCATACTGGTTGTGCATAAAGTATTGTTGATAGGTGTTCATGTCATAGTGGCCAGCAGCAATTCAGAAAACTTGCAAAACACCACAAATAATTTCCAAAGAACTCCAGTCTTAAACCAGTATTTCACAATGGGGAGAAAATCTTTTTTCTTGTGGCTAAATGCAACATACAACGGGCGGGATTCATCCGTCCTACAGTCACACACCTGACTCTGGGAATCAATAGAGTTGGGTGTCTGAAGTGTCTAGTGCCCCATTCCAAAAGAAATGCCTTTCAGGGATCTTTGTGCACACACTAATCTTGTGCACCATTTCCACAATGCTGTCCAAAGCCTGTGGTGATACAGAAATTCAGTGAGAATGCAGACATGTTGATATGGTGGCTCTATGTTAGCAGAAACTGTTCTGGCTAGTGGAGGTCTTCAGACTGTGCTTATTTAGCCTCCACCAGCAGTTTGACCTTCCTCTTGGAATTTTCTCTGCACAGAATGAAGTATATCGCCAAAATCACTGGGTTGAATGTTAATGGATTAAGAAGTGACAGAATTTACTGCAGGAAAATACTGTTACTGCAGAGTGTAGAAATCTTCCTACTTACCACTAAAACATACTCCTCAAAATAGAGAACATTTTCAGTGTTGACAGTGTAACAGAGCCACGACTTGAAAGTCAGAAGTTTCCCTTTTGTAAAGGACTTAATGCTGTCGCATTTCTCCAGGCATACTTGAAAACTGATCACCCCTTGCACTTCAGTTTCATTATGTATCTCTGTATGTTGTCTTCTTCCAAACATTAAATCTCATTCCACCAAAGCTCCTCTATTTTATAGATTTCACGGTGTATCTCATTTATTTTTCTTCTAGTCCACGGGTTGCCCCATATACTCACCTGCTGGGTTGATCAGGGCAAACAGAGTGTCATGATAGCTCTTGCTTTTAGGTAAATCATTCCTTTACAAGACTGGAGTTCACTATTCTGATTAGAAGTCTTCCCAATAAGAAGCGTTGCTGAGAAGAGGAATATGAGATAACCTTTGGAGAACAAGCTCAGGCTTATGGCGTTGACAGAATCATGTGAGGATTGCACAATGTGCAAGGACCAGCAGCCTCCGCTGGGTTATCCTCCCCATCTACTCTGGCCTGGTCAGACCCCACCTGGAGTACTGCGTCCAGTTCTGGGCTCCCCAGTTCAAGAAAGATGAGGAACTCCTAGAGAGAGTCCAGAGGAGGGCAATAAAGATTTTTAGGGGACTGGAGCATCTGGTGGATGAAAACTGGACATAAGCCGGCAATGTGTGCTGGCAGCCCAGAAGGCCAACCGTACTCTGGGCTGCATCAGAAGCGTGGCCAGCAGGTCGAGGGAGGTGATTCTGCCCCTCTACTCTGCTCTGGTGAGACCTCACCTGGAGTACTGCGTCCAGCTCTGGAGCCCTCAGCACAAGAAGGACATGCAGCTGTGGGAGTGGGTCCAGAGGAGGGCTACAAAAATGATCCGAGGGCTGGAGCAACTCTCCTATGAGGACAGGCTGAGAGAGTTGGGCTTGTTCAGC